CCTCTCCTGCCGCCTGCTGCTCCCCTCAGCAGTGTACTTCGGTCCTTCTGCCTGCTCTGCTCCCCGCTCTGGCTCTGGTGAATTCTCTCACCCTCCTGCGCTTCTGACTGTACCCAGTGCTTGTATAAATAAATTAATTAATTTTAAAAAAAGAAAGAAAGAAAGAAAAGACTTTGCAGTCCGTACTGAATACTTGGTATATTACAGTTGAGGCATACACAACCCGCATTCTATCTGGCAACAGATAACCTCAAAACCTCAAACATCCTATATAAAATATAATTTCTATTTTATTTTTCTCCAGAGGACAGTTTCTCTCCAGCCCTTAATGACTTAGCTCCTGTACATTAATAGATAGGGCAGCACCTGTAGGTCTAAATCAGGGTGGGGTGTTTGGGCCTTACAGGCCTCACAAGAATAATTCCTGACTACTTTGCTGTGAATGGCACGACTCACATAATGTAATTTCACATACAGGTTGGGAAGCACATAGGCATCCAAGACACTTGCTTCTGAATATACTTTAGGCCTCCACTTTGTTTCAAATGACAAACTTCTTAAGCCTTGCCCTGAGGCATCAGTCCTTACAGTAGGAGCAGCAAACAGGCTATACATGGCCTTGGCCCTTTTTGTCACATTGTTCCCTTTTTTCTTGGTACTTTGTCCACTCCACTCTGTCCTGGCTCTCAAAACCCCCCAGTGTGTGGACTTGAAAGGTTTTTGGCTGTGTCCTTTGAAATGGAAAATAGGCAGCTCCCCTGCCTGCCTATGGCTATGCAGGCATTTCTTTTCCCTTTTCCCTTTGCAAAGCAGCAACACCAGCCGCTCTCTAGCCATCTGTGTCTATGCAGGTATCTCATTTTTCTTTCTGCTTTTCCTAACAAACCCGTCCTTTTAAAATGTTTTTTTTTTTTTTTAAAAAAAAAGGAAATTGGAAAATGGCTAATCGCTCTTACTTTTGAAAGGTGGTCAAGTTGCCATCAATAAGTTGTAGCATTAAAATATGAATTTGTGTTAAAGTAGAATTCATGTTGTTTTGGCTTTAAATACAAATTTATGGTATTAGTAAAAATTTTGGATTTTAAAATGTTTGGTTTTTATATTTATTGGCTATTTTTATCTAAGAAATGACCTGAATCAATAGCAAAATCAAGAGCACATTTTGTCCAGTGTGAAAAATAGAAAAGCTTGTAAGACTCAAAGTCTTGTATAGGGAATCAGGTTTATTTACCTTTCTATGCGAAGTCCCAGTCACTAGGAAACAAAGCTGTTGATAAAAAAAAAAACAAAAAAATAAACTGAGTTTACTTATAAAAACTGTTCAGAGTGATTGTGATTGTTCTGCCATCTCTTAAGTCAATTTCTTACACTGTGATCAATATTGTTTGGGTTTATATAAGTGAAACATGCAAGTGTATATTTTGCCTTAGGCATAGTTTGATCCATGTCTCAAGCAAAACACTTTCCATCTTTCAGCTTTCTCTGGGTTATTTAGGCTCCACATGGTGAAACTCCTGGAAGTAATAACCTCACACTCTCCTTAAGCGTCTCACTTTTCTGCCTCTAGGTCCAATAGAAAACAGAAAGTCTGTGTACCAATTTTCCTGGCATAAATTCTGAGTTTCACTCTGATAAAACCAATTGTATGAGCTCGGCCTTCCAATCACTGTAATCTAGCAAATAGGAGTCTCCCTTAATCCAATCTCAGGACAACACTTCTTGGAACTGGCAATGGGGAGGACTGAGTTCCTAAATCACATACATAGCTGATGTTGCCGAGAAGAGTGGTTTTCCGTAGAAAGTGTGGAGTACTGTTTGTTCCTTAAAAAGGGAAGAAATCATACTGTGTGTTAAATCACAGATTTGTACTGTCCCATTCAATCTATTATGATCTTGAGTAAACCCACCATTTTCAGACATCTCTTTTTCCTTCTTAAAAGGAGGAATATAAGGACTAAAAGACTGAAACATCAAGGAAGTTTGCATCAAGGAAGGATTATGGAATGGGAAAATAGGAAAAACAAGACCTCAGGTGATGTTTCTGGTCAGTTTATCAAAAGTTTAAAAAAATTTTTTTTAATTAAAGTTAAAAAACAAAAGCCAAGGTAGGATTCATGTAAATATTTTGTTCCCTTTCCCTTTTACACTGCCTTGTAGGCTATTTGTCTAAAAACGTGACCATTTTTATATACTTTAATACCACAAATGCCTCACCCTATTTTATAAATGTTCTTTTCAAATTAGATAAATACTCATATGCCTAGTAAGGGAATACATTGATTAATAAATTATTTAGAACCTAATATTTTCTGAACTATTCTTTATATTAAAAATATTTAATCATCAGAAGCAATTATTTCTAGTTTAAGCAAATCCAGTAATTGTCTCTTTTATACAGTTTGCTTTTTCCAGCCTCTCTGTTTTCTCGCCTGTCATTTTTTTTAAAGATTTATTTATTTATGCATACAAGAGCTGGGGTACAGGCCAGAGATGCGGGGGATGGGGGTGAGAGGATTCACCAGAGACATAGTGGGGAACAGAACAGGCAGACTGATTGAAATACACTGCTGAAGGGAGCAGCGGGCGAGACAGGAGAGGTCTGCTGCGCCATGTGGGTTGCTCCCTGGCCGGCTGGGGGATCGAACTCATGCTGCAGAAGCTGCGGATTGCTTCCACCACCAGGGAGGCCCTGCCTGTCATTTTTTTACTGACAAACTTTATTGTATATCAGGGTCTTCAGGACTTATTAAAACATTTCTTCTTAACATGCATGTATCTGTGGTAATTTCAATGGAACCTTAAAACAAATTTCTTCTATGTACTGGGATTAATCCCAATTAAATTATTGAGTTTTCCAGAGCAATACAATCTTCCTTTTGTTTGTTCAATCACTTGGAACTAGTAGATTGCTCAGTAAATGTTGCTGGTAATTTAATTTTCAGTTGCTTGGTTGTTTTGTACTATAATTAAGTTTAAAAAATTTCCCATTTCATATTTATTTGTATTCTAAATTATAAATGTATTTTGGAGTGAAGTATATAGAATCCCGTGAATTTGAAATGTATCAAAAAGTAAGATGGGTTAATGGTAGAGTATACATATATAGCAAAATGATAAGAATTGTAGAATCTAGATGCTGGGAATATGGGTATTCACTTAACAGTTTTTCAACTTTAAAAAAAAATCTGAAATGTTTCATAATTTATTAGGAGAAAATTAACTTATACTTATCCAGAAATTGTGATGTATATGGCTATACAAGTATTCCCATTAGATTGAAGTATGAAATTGCCACCAATATAGGTCAAAAACAGATAAATATAGGGGCCTCCCCTGGTGGCGCAGTGGTTGAGTGCTGGGCTGTGAGGCTGCCTGCAGCCTCTGCAGCGCCAGTTCGTTCCCTGTCCACTGGGGAGGGTCCCACAAAACAAAAACAAAAAAACAAACAAACAAAAAAACCCAGATAAATATAGGCAGTTTCACTTGATTCAAGTGATGACTAAAATTGGCTTAATATAAAATATGATTCACTTTAATACTGATTGTACTTACTGGTCTGGCTATACTTAGCAATATATATTTTTGATTGCTGAAATTAGAAGTTTATAAGAACCTAGAAAGTTTGTAGATATTTTGCCTGTATTTTGTTACCAAAATATACACCTCATTTCCCTGATTTACTTATAAAATTTATATATGTCTACAAAATTATGTTGGTTTTGGTAATGGTTTTGGAAAAATGTATAAACACCTCAATTAACAAGTCTGTTTGCACTAGCATCTCAAATAAATTTTAATGAAAAAATTGTAAAACAGTCAAACCACAGATAATGGTGATAGTCACTGACAATGTGAATATACTTAATGTTACTGAATTATACTTTTAAAAATTGCTAAAGTAGTAAATTTTGTGTTACGCATATCTTACCAAAATTTTTTTTAAAGGTAGCATTTTTGGTTTTCATCAGTAGGGCTTTGGCTATTCGTGTTTTTTTGTAGTTCCATATGAATTTCATCAGTATTTGTTTTATTTCTTTGAAGAATGTCATTGGGATTTTTATTGGAATAGCATTGAATCTGTATATTGCGTTTGGAAGGATGGCCATTTTAATAATGTTGATTCTTCCAATCCATGAGCAGGGGATGTCTTTCCATTTCTTTGTGTCTTCTTCAATTACTTTGAACAGTGTTCTCTAATTTTCTTTGTATAGGTCTTTCACCCCTTTCGTTAGGTTTATTCCCAAGTATTTGATTTTTTTGGTTTCAATTGTAAAAGGGATGGTTTTCTTGATTTTTGTCTTCTTCCGATTGATTGTGTATAGAAAAGCTACTGATTTTTGTGTGTTGATTTTGTATCCTGCTTAAAGGTAGCATTTTTGGAAGGCAGGTGTGCTCACCACTATACTGGCACCATTGTAAGGCAGCATTTTTGGATAAACAAAAATAGTTTGAGGACCTAGACATCTTGACTGAGGTGGGTCAGAATGACTAAAAAAAGCTGCATACCTTCTATTTTTAGCCAGGCTTTAATGAACTATGGCTGAATTAGGAAGCTAAGTAAAATCACAATTTTGGATATTATTGCTGGGGATTCAGTTTTTTCCCTGTTCTAATTAAGAAGTTTAAATTGGAGGACACAACTGAAATTCATGTTCTACTAGAACTGAAGACCTCAATGAGCTGTACCACCTGACTAGTCTTTTACACTAAGCATAGATAAGCTAGTTATTCTATTCCAAATAGAGTAGTCACTTGTCTATTAAAGTGAAAGTGCATAGCAGGTAACAAGTTTTAATTAGCAGTTTCCAGTTTACTGTCAAACTTTGGCAGGGAGGGTCTCATTGAGTTAAATTGTATCCGCCCTAATGGAAATTGTAGTCAAAACTTGTGTTAATTTGAAGAAGAAATAGGGAATAGCTATAAATTAGACTTGAGAGCTATAGTGGAGAGGAGGCCAGAGTCTTAAAGATAATGTCATTATTTTCTCTTTTAATTCACAGAAGTTGCTGGGTGTGTTTTGCCACGGATGAAGATGATAGAACAGCTGAATGGGTGAGACCATGCAGGTGCAGAGGATCTACAAAATGGGTTCACCAGGCTTGTCTACAGCGCTGGGTGGATGAAAAACAAAGAGGAAACAGTACAGCCAGAGTGGCATGTCCTCAGTGCAATGCTGAATACTTAATAGTTTTTCCAAAGTTGGGTAAGAAGATCCTTAAAAACAGCACAGCTATATGTGATGTTATTATATATAACTCTCTGGTCTCAAGTTTTTATGAAATTTCTATATTCTTTCTTTCATTTCCTAAAAGTCAGACATTTGTTTTGCTGATAGTCTATACTATTCTTAATATACTCTCAGATTCACCATTTTATCTCTGTGTTAAATATTTTCATTTGGTTGAGTGGATAAAGAATTTGGACATCTAGGCTTGACCTGCCTGAGGACAGGAGTGGGAGGGAGGGAGAAAAAAAAAGAAAGAATGTGGACATCTTAACTGTGTGGATAAAATCAAATAACAAAACTGTAATAAATAGCTGACTAAAGAGCCTCATTCTCTGGAGACCACTGGTGTAGAGAAAGAAAACAACAGTGTATTTAATGCTTATCCCTAATTCTTCTGTTAATGAAGAAAGTAGAGAAATGTAAAGATTGGATGAAAGCATTAAACTCATATTTGGAATCCTATTTATGTGGTTGTCTTTCTTGAAAACTGCTTTCATTTTTCTGCTAATTGGCAGGCAAGAAATAACCAAAGGTCTTTGAGAATGAGGCTAGCATTGAAAAAATTATAGCAGACTGTTTAAAGGAAGCTGTAACCGAGTTTGAGAATCAGTTAGCGTGTTACATTGCAGCCATATGATATGATTTGGTGTTTCTTTTTGGTGTTTATGCCATGCCAGTTGTTAAACATTTTTAATGTCACTCTTGGTTGTAATCAAGTGGTTTATGAAGGCAATTTGGGTTCTGGGAAGGTCAGGAGGAAAGAAATAACTATCAGGGAAGTAGAATTCAAGGAAAAATTCTCACATTTCTAATGTGAAAAGATTTATAATAGGGGCAAATAAAATGTTTGTTGGTAATTTCTAGCATAATCCATAAGAATCATGGCTTCTTAAAAAGCAATATAGTAGAGAAATATACTATTTTAATATTTGGAATTTGTGGCTCACATGATGTATCACACACCAAATTTTTTCATTATAGTTTGAAAGCAATATTTTAAAATAATTTAAGCATCAGGAAAAGCAATTACTACTGTACTCTTTCTCCACATTAATGTCTGGCTCACTAAAGTTAAGATTTTATATTTAACTTAATTTTCCTACTCTTTAATTTTACTAAATTTGTTAATCCTACTTTTCAACTACAGGTTGTTAGGCATACCAGCAAGTATAAATTGATTCTATTAAATGTTTTAAATATTCAGATAGTTACAAAAATTATTGCACTTCTCACTGAAAATTACATATAATGTTCCATAAGGCATTGAGTTCACAAATGTCTGGCACTTAACAGTAAAGTTGAATATTTCAGTTTGAGAGATGGCAGTTCGGGTAGATAAATACTTTGAGCTATATTCAATTCTAGAAAAAAGTTATTAGGTCTAGTGTGGTAACTGAATTTAAGGCAACCTAAAAATAATATATTGATTTCTTTTTACAAGAAAGAAAAAAAATGGCTAGATGTTAGGGAAAAGTCAAACTCTCTTTGGTTAAGTATTTTTGTCATGATTTAGCCTTTATATTTTGTCCTTTGGAATTATTTCAGTTTCAAATGATAGCTTAAAGGTATACAATGTGCTGCATTCATGTAGATCAGAATTTTTTTTTTTTACTTTATTTTTTTTTCTGACTTTATCAGTGTTTTGAAAAGTTTTATGTTCATTTGAATAGTTTTTATTAGTAGCTTTCTTCCTGACAAGATAGGAAAGCATAGTCTTGTATTTCTACTTTCTTGAAACAACATGCTGAGGATACCTGCTCAAATACTGAGGTTGGAATCATAGTCCCAATTTTTCCATGCAATTTTTAACACTGACTCAATAATAGGAGACTTATTGTCCAAATGACAGCTGTTGTTTTTAAGTGAAGCCATGTGAATTGACTTTCCGGTGCCTTGTTCCTCCTTGCTATACACATGGCTAGTGCTGTAGGTTATACTTAATCCCTATAGAGGTTTTTCAAGTCAGGATTCAAAAATAACTGTTGGTTAAAAAAAAAACCCTTCTCTGTATAGCATGTTTTCACTAATTATCAGTATTAAAAGTTGCCTGTCTATTTTTTTGCATATTATGTATAGGCCAAGAATTTGTTCATTTTCTGAACTTAGTGGTTTCTTGCAACCATAAAACAAAATATTTAAGGGCATACATTTGTGATAGTAATTGTTCTTCTATACTATAAACCATACATTTATATAATGTCCAGTAGTATCACCTAATTACAATATTTTATCAATAGATTTTCTCTCTAAGCCTATTTGCATTAATTTCGTAGCTGATACCCTTTCGTAGCTGATACCTTTTCGTAGTAGTTACCCTTGTTTTTGTTAAAATGAGTTAAAGTTCCTTTGATTGTAGTTTAATCTGCTTTCAGTGACAAAATTCATTATACAGACTTTAGTTTACTGGAGTAGTTGAATTATATGACTGCTTTAGTGACTTCTTGTCCCAGTTTTTATAATATTTGAATTCCTACTTGGTAATGTACAGTGGGAACAAGGTCTGCTAGTCCAAACTAATCACTCCTAATTCACTGATCACAGTCAATTTGAAGATAATACTAACATCATACTATTTATCATTTGAATTAAATGTTTTTTTATCACTCTCAGTCTTTTATGAACCCATTTGAACCATTGATTCATTTCCCTATATTTGGGTTTTAACACAATATGATAGTAGCAGCAAAATATTTAACTCACGTGTAAGAGTTTGTTATCTAAAACAAATAATTCCTCCTGCCTATCCTTGCTGAGTATGTGAAACCTTAGAATGTCACAACTAAAAACCTAAAACAATTTCTTTGAAAGTCATACTTTTCAAGTATATTTGAAATGTTTGTGATCAAAACTTTCCACCCTTTTCCCTCACATTGCCTGTGGATCAGTTAAAAATTTGCTAGGGACCACCAATGGTCCCCAAACAACCCTTGAGAAACATTGGCTAAAAGAAAGACTAAAGGACGAGAGGAAAAATTGTATAGAGAAAGAGATGATAATTAATGTTCTATGGGATCACTCTTTGTAGCAGTTACTTTTTAAGAAAAAAAATTTTCATAGGGATTTAGCCTCAGTCTGGCTAACTGCTAAGTCTGTATCTGTATCTTTTCTGGTATTTAGTGGTGGCAGGAATAAAGGGGTGGTGCCAAGTACTTGTCCCTAATTGTTGATAGGGATGTATTACGTTCAGTAATAAAAAACATGAAGGACTCATCAGGCCTTCATTCCTTTCACTATTTACCACCCATCTTATGATTTGCTTTCTTGACGTGAATTGGGTCTGCTGTGTATTTGTAGGTACTTAAAAACTACTGAAAATGTGGTCTGGAGACCAGCAACATTGGAATCATCTAAGAGATGAAGACCCTTAGTACCTTCCCCACTCACTTCCAGTTTTAATGCCTCAAAATTTGCATTTTTATTAAATCATCCAAAAATTTATATGCATTAAATTTAAGAAGCAGCTTTAAAACATGAAGGGGATGCCAACTGTTTGTCTACTATTAAAAATAAACATTTCCATGAAATTTGAGATCAATAGTAACCTTGTTTACCTACGCAGAATTCACAGGAGAGTATTTCAAAAGAGATCTTGATTCCCAAAGGTAAAAGGGACTGATTCACATTAGATTGCTTATCTTTCAACAGTGTTTTGTAGTTCTCAGTATACAGGTCTTCCTAACCATCTCATTATTGTCATGCTATTTTAAATGGAAGTATTTTCTTAATTGTATTTTTGGATTGTTTGTCGCAAGTATGTAGAATACAATTAATTTATGTATTTTGATCTTGTATTCTGTAACCATGCTGAACTTGGTGATAGTTCTGATAGTATCTTAGGTGGATTGCTTAGGATTTTCTATATACAAGATTGTGTCCTCTCTAAATATAGTTTTACGTATCATCCAGTCTGGATAGTTTTGTTTCATTCTGTTGCTTAATCTCCCTGGCCGCTACAATCATATTAGATTGACTGATTTTCATGTTAAACCAAACTTTGTTTTCTAGGATAATTCCACTTGGTTGTGATATACTATCCATTTTAGATGTTGCTAGATTTGGTTTGCTAGTATTGTGGGTTTTTGTGTCTGTTGTCATAATGGATATTGGTGTGGGTTTTTTGTGATACTTTATACTGATTTTTTATGGGATAATGTTGACCTCATAGAATGATTTGGGAAGTAATCTTTCCTCATAAATTTTTTGGTAAGAATTTGTGAAAAATCGGTATTTTTTTAATTTTTAGAGAGCTAATTGATTTTATTGATTTTTTTTTATTTTATTGATTTATTAATTGGGCAGCATCCCATCTAACCACTGCTGTTAATTCTACTTCAAACGTTTGTTGGTATGAAAGTTGTCTGGCTCTGGGCTTTTCTTTATGGGAAGTTTTTATTTTTTAATTACTAGTTTACATTTTTTAATCCTTAGAGGTCTATTCAGGTGTTCCTATTCTTGAGTAAAGTTTTCATAGTTTGTGTCTTTCTAGAAATTTGTCTGTTTCATCTAGATTATCTAATTTGTCAGCGTACAGTTCATAGTATAGTTTGCTTTTCTTTTTCTAGTTTGTAAAGGTGAAAGGGTAGATTATTATTTTGAGTTTTTTTTAATAAACTTTAATTTTCAGAGCAGCTTTAGGTTCACAGCAAAATTGAGAGGAAGGTATAGAGATACGCTGTATGATTCCCTGTTGCCACACATGCCTAGTCTCCATTATCATCATACTTCACCAGAGCAATCAATACATGGATTACAATTAGTCACTAGTTCACATATGATTTTGCTTTGAGTGTTACGTATTTTATGGGCATGGACAAAGATAATGGCATGTATCTTCCATATTTTAAATGAAATAGTTTCATTGCACTAAAAATCTTCTGTACTGAACCTATCAATTCCTTCCTTCTACCTATCCCCTGGCAATCACTGATCTGTTTTCGTACTTTTGCCTTTTCCAGAATGTCACGTAGTTAGAATTC